AAGATTTTCCTTTTATATTTATATTATAAATATAAAATAAATTTTTTATTTCTTTTTCACCACATTATGTAATTATCTTTGAATACAGTACAAGAAAAAGTCGGAGAAAAGATCGTTTGTATATTTAATTTTTTTAAATTTTATTGTTCCATCACAGAAAGGAAAGATACCTCTTCTGCTAGCAGTCGAGGCTGGCAATCAGTCAATGTGCCGAGAACTTTTAGCACAGCAAGCGCCCGATCAGCTTCGTGCTACTACGCCAGCCGGCGATTCTGCCCTGCATTTAGCTGCTAGGAGAAGAGACATCGACATGGTGCGGATTCTGGTGGATTACGGCGCGGCTGTCGACATGCAAAATGTACGTTAAATCCAAGCACGAAAATCCCAACTAAAGTGAAATTGAACCGATAATAATCGGATGGTATAGCGTTGAAACTTTGCCAATATACATAATATTCGAATGTTTCGAAACTCACAAATTATACGATACGATGTAAATACATTACAAACTTTTTACCATTTTCCTCGCATTTGGGTAAGCTATATATTGCGTTTAATTATCCTCTCTATGATTTTATGACAGTCGGAAATTACCATTTATCTCTTTTATCTTTTGAACGCGTAAACATTTCGAATTTCCGAGATATGAATGTATATAACATAATTGTTTAATTAATTTCCGGTAAAATTAATGGAATTTTGATGTTAGCTTACAAAAGTATTTATATTATAACGCAAAACTCTGAAATATTATACCATAACTACCCAATTCTATTCCAATCTAAATTTTGATTCTGCAAAGAAATTGAGTACAAAATTTGACAAGATCGATCGTACGCGAAATAGAAGTAACATGATAAATTACTGTAACTGCAAAGTTATGTTTCTAAATATCTTATGTGCAATAATTGAGAACAAGGCAGTTATAAAATTTACGACAAAGTTTTAAACTTCTTTAAAGATTATTTCAATTGTAATTGCATTTTATAATTTTATGATTTCTTACAGCTTTTACTATCACGCGACAATATATATAATGATTTTTAATTGAGTCACAAAAATTGATGAGGATATATGCACAACGATAAGAGTCACTGCTTAATTATTAACTTTTATTAATAACTTTTATTAGCAGTATAATAAACTTTTATTAATAACTTTTATTAGCAGTATAATAAAAGTAAAAAGGAAGTAATAATTTTTCTGCCAATATATAAAAATTTATAAAATTTGCAATCCAATTCAACAAAAAACTTACAAAATGTATGCAATGTTATTGAGAAATATATAACTATCTAAAATATATAGCTATCTAAAAATGTAACATGTATTTCAGGGCGATGGGCAAACTGCGTTACACATAGCGAGTGCCGAAGGTGACGAAACCTTAGTAAAATATTTTTACGGTGTCAGAGCCTCCGCTTCGATCACTGATCATCAAGATCGAACGCCAATGCATTTGGCTGCAGAAAACGGCCACGCTTCTGTCATCGAGCTACTGGCCGATAAATTTAAAGCAAGTATCTTCGAAAGGACAAAAGACGGCTCCACCTTAATGCACATAGCATCGCTCAACGGTCACTCAGAATGTGCCACTATGCTCTTCAAGAAGGGCGTGTATCTGCACATGCCAAATAAACGTGGTGCCAGATCTATTCATACGGCTGCAGGATATGGACATGTGGGTATTATTAGCACTCTGCTGCAACGAGGAGAAAAGGTAAACAATTATTATTATCATGAATGATACCATTCGATTTAATGTGGATAATTCTTCGATTATAATTTGATAAATGTAAATTCAATTTTTTTTCTCACAAACATAAGTGTCGTTATTCAAAACTAAAACTATATTTTAAGTTTAATCTTCTATATTATTTTCAGATTTTTAGAACGTATATTTTAGATTTTTATTTTCTAAAAATATTTTTATCATAGATATATAATGGCTTAACAAATTTAATTTTTATGCAATTTTAAGATATTTTATAATATTAGATATTAAATAAATTATACCTCCAAGAATAAATCAAAAGAAAATAAATTATCAATGTGATCCGACTGTTATTAGTACGTAAAAAAATAATATTTTTTATAATGATTAGATGCCGAAAAATTCATGAATATATCAACATGATCCTTTTTAATACATTACAATAATATTAAAATATCTGTACATCTTTAAATGTCAAATTGTATGGAATCTCTTATTTTTTTCTATGCAGGTAGACGCGATAACTAACGATAACTATACGGCACTCCATATAGCCGTAGAAAGTGCCAAACCGGCTGTCGTGGAAACTCTTCTAGGATATGGCGCAGAGGTACACGTGAGAGGTGGAAAACTTCGGGAAACTCCACTTCACATAGCTGCCAGAGTGCCTGATGGCGACAGATGCGCTCTGATGTTATTGAAATCTGGAGCAGGTCCGAATTTGACAACTGATGATGGCCAAACACCTGTGCATGTGGCAGCCAGCCATGGGAATTTAGCGACACTTCTTTTGCTCCTTGACGATGGCGGAGATCCGATGTTTAAATCAAAAGTAATTATATCGATAAAACAAGAAATAAGATCCAATTCATAAAAATATGATCTCTATGTAATAATTAAACAAGTTGAATATATTCAACAATTAATAAAACAAAAATTAAATATTATTTTTTCATCATGTTCTACGTAATAAATGTCATGTACAAATAATTTTCTCAAAATGATAATTGTTAAATTATTTCTATTTACTCTAAGATTTCTATTTTTACTTAGAATGGAGAGACACCCTTGCATTTAGCCTGTAGGGGTTGTAGGGCTGACGTGGTCAAACACTTGATAGAGTTCGTAAAGGAAAAGAAGGGTCCAGAAGTGGCGACCGCCTATGTGAACAGTCTGACCAACGAAGGTGCCAGTGCGCTCCATTACGCTGCCCAAATCGAACCCTCGGAAGTCAGCACTCCCGGCGATGATCGCGCCGTGGTCCGCGCTCTTCTTGACAGCGGCGCGGACGTCTCTCTGCAAACTAGACAGGCCCAGGAATCGGCGTTCCATCATTGCGCGCTCGCGGGTAATAACGAGGTTCTATCGGAGATGATCAGTCGCATGTCAGCTACAGAGGTGCAAAAAGCCTTGAATCGGCAAAGCGCCGTGGGTTGGACGCCATTATTAATCGCAGCTCATCGAGGTCATATGGAACTGGTGACCACGCTTCTCGCCAATCACGGCAGAGTGGATGTATTCGATCTCGAGGGTAGATCCGCTCTTCATCTAGCGGCTGAGCACGGCTACCTTCAAGTCTGCGATGCGTTGCTGGCGAACAAGGCCTTTATAAACTCTAAATCGCGCGTCGGAAGGACCGCTCTGCATCTGGCTGCCATGAATGGTTACACGCATTTGGTACGCTTCCTCGTGCAGGATCACGGCGCTGCAATAGATGTGCTCACATTGAGGAAGCAGACTCCTCTTCACCTGGCGGCGGGAGCAGGTCAATTAGAAGTCTGTAAATTACTTCTAGAACTTGGTGCCAGTATAGATGCCACGGACGACCAGGGACAAAAACCAATTCATGCTGCGGCTATGAACAATTACGCCGAAGTGGCGCAACTCTTTCTGCAGAGGCACGCTAGTCTCGTGATGGCCTGCACCAAGGATGGCAATACTTGCGCTCACATCGCTGCCATGCAAGGCAGCGTCCGGGTGATCGAAGAACTGATGAAGTTCGATAGGCAGGGTGTGATAACTGCTAGGAATAAACTGACCGAAGCAACTCCTCTGCAATTAGCAGCGGAAGGTGGACACGCTGAAGTAGTGAAGGCTCTGGTTAGGGCCGGCGCATCCTGCGCTGACGAGAATCGCGCGGGTTTCACTGCTGTTCATTTGGCGGCTCAGCACGGTCACGGTCAGGTACTTGAAGTTATGAGGTCGTCGCAATCTCTTAGAATATCCAGCAAAAAGCTTGGTGTTACCGCACTTCACGTTGCTGCTTACTTTGGACAAGCCGGTGAGTAAAAATCTTATAAAATAATTGTATAATAACGTTCAAATTCAAATTCATCAAAAGATTAAGGAATCAAGCTTATTATTCGTGTTACACAATTTATATATTTAAATACATACAAACGTTTCGAACTTTTTACATCAGGTCATTATCAGTGTGATAAAACTATCGCTACCGGTTTATATGAGCTTTCATAAATTTTATGCGTTAATTAAGCAGAATAAAATAATTAAATAGAATAAGTACTAAATCGATTTTTAATAAAAGAGAAAAATTTATAATTATGATAACACTCAATAATGCCATAAAATTAAATTTTAAATTAAATATAAAAGCTCCAACAAATAAAATTATCAAATTATCAAAAATTAACAAAAACGTAAAAAGGCTAAAGAGTCAAGCTTATTGTTCGTGCTACACAATATTTATATGTTTGAAAAACATATATTTAGTTTTACGCTGGCATTATGGAACGTTATCATAATTGTAATTCACATTTTAAGTTTTTCTCCTTTATTAAGAATCGGTTTGGTATTTATTCCACCAATTTACTTAATCAACACATAAAACTTATGAAATCTCACATTTCTCTTAAGTTATGTAAATCAATAATGATAGTTTTATCTGATGACCTGATGTAAATAGATCGAAATGTTCATATGTATTATAATATAAATATTGTGTAATACGAACAACAAGATTGGCTCATTAGCCTTTTTGATAATTTGAATTTTATTGGTTGGAGCCTTTACATGTATCTAATTTAAGATTTTATATAATAACATTTTACAGGAAAAAAAATTACTTCTAACTAGTCAAAATATTTCTTATAAATTTTTGAATCTATAAGAACTAAAAGATCTGTAAGCTAAAACGATGTAACAAACCAAATTTCTCCAGCAGGAAATAATTAATACTTCTTTGGAATAAACTTCAATTTTGGAAACTTGACGCGTTGATTTGAAATTTGACTTGTGACATTGTTTTCAACAACAAAAAATTTATTTTTAAAAACATCTCATTTGGTTCAAAATAATAAAAAAAAAACATTTTTTGTAAACTAGTGTAATTATAATAATAATCTATAAAATGACTTTATAAAATCATTTCTATGCAATGTAAAAGAAGTTGAATTAACAAACTTTATATGAATTTTTTTTACATCATAACAGATTTACAAGAATTTGAAGAATATTTTTAAATTAAATTGCGAAAGATATTTTATAGATATAGATATTCTAAATATCTTTAAAATGATTTTAATGAAATTGACGGGTATATCTAATTCAAATTTAGCTTTTTATGATTTTAATTACTTCAACATTGTCATGATTGTCATTAAACAATATGAATATCGTTCGATATTATCGTTAATGTATAATATCTACACATAATTCATGCATAATTCTATTTATGTATAAATTATAACTAATTAATGATAAATATCAATGGTGAAATATAATTAGAACCGAGAGAAGCTATCATTAAATTTCAATGTATTAAGATGTATATTTGTCATCATTATTTAAAAAAAAAATCATTTTAAAAGTAGTTATATATGTATTTTAACTACTATAAAATAACCTTTAATTGTACTCTTCATAATTTTTTATCTCTCTTATATTTTATCCCTCTTTATATTTTTTTATTGTAAAAGAAAATTGATTTTGATTCTAGATACTGTTAGAGAACTGCTCACTCACATACCTGGAACTGTGAAATCCGATCCACCAACCGGAGGATCTTTAGTAGGAGAATTAGGAGCTGAATCCGGCATGACTCCTCTTCATCTGGCTGCCTATTCTGGAAACGAGAATGTCGTACGACTTCTTCTCAATTCTGCGGGGGTTCAGGTACGACTTCTACGACAAATTATATTAGTAATCATAATTGAATTTATCTGATCTTAACTTATGACACATTCAGAACATATTCTCTTTATAAAAAATATTTTTTAAAATGTATGTATTTTTTAAGACGATAATCTTGACAAAAATTAGATAACACTTGTATTAATACGATTCTTTATTTTTAAAAATTTGAGAAAAGAGTTGAGAAAATTTAGTTACTTTTACATTAGTTTGTACAAGTTATTAAGAAGATAGATTAATGCTGATCTTACATCAATGTAGGATTAACTTTAATCTTAGTTTAATTTACTTTTTTTTCTTTTTCTAATTCTAATATTCTTAATATTCTACTAATGAAAATTAACTTTAATCTCGATTTAACTTGCTCTTTATCTTTTTCTAATTTTTAAAGTTAGAAAAAGATAAAAAGTAAATTGAAACAAGATTAATCTACATTGGTCAATGTACGGATCTAAATCGCCGCATTGAACATTTTGACTGAATATGAGGATGTTCTGACCAAAGGTAGACGCAGCGACAACAGAAAACGGCTGGAACCCTTTGCATCTGGCTTGTTTCGGTGGTCACATAACCGTCGTGGGTCTGCTGTTGAGCAGATCGGCCGAATTGTTGCATAGCTCGGATCGTTACGGCAAAACCGGACTGCACATCGCGGCAACTCACGGGCATTATCAGATGGTAGAGGTTCTTTTGGGTCAGGGAGCGGAAATAAACGCGACTGATAAGAACGGTTGGACACCGTTGCATTGTGCGGCACGCGCCGGCCATTTGGACGTTGTGAAGCTGCTTGTGGAAAGTGGTGGGTCTCCAAAAACCGAGACGAATCTCGGCTGCGCACCGATCTGGTTCGCCGCTTCCGAGGGTCACAATGATGTACTGAAATACCTTATGGAGAAGGAGCACGATACGTATGCTTTGATGGATGATAGGAGGGTAAGATATCCGTTCTGATAAGAGGAACAGCGAAAACTCTCTGAAGTAATAAAAAGTTTCTTAGACTGAGAACTACTCAAATGTTAATGTTTTTTTTATTTCACACGGTATGAAAAAGTATAAGTTATAGAAAAATTACAAAAAAATAATTGCTTATAAAAGCTAATCATTTAATAAAATCGTTTGTTTTTCTCTTTTATATAAAAGGATGTTTATCTTTAAATAAAATGTTTTCTGCGATTTAAAAATATTCTTGTTTTCTATATATATATATATATATGTATTATGAAGAAAAATTTATATAAAGTTTGTTAATTCAATTTCTTTGCATTGCAAAGAAATAATTTTATAATCATTTAAAACTAAGCTAAATTTTCAAAATTTTCATATATAGTTCGTGAGATTAAAAGATATACAACATTTAGAAACTTTATACATTTCGAGGACCAAAGGAATTTGCTCTTTAATGTTAGATACGCACGCAAAGAGAATTAAGTCGATTTCGTAGACGAAAATTTATTGATAATGCATGTGTAGTTCAAATAATTTTAAAACGAGACAAGAAACTTTATCGCACAAAATTCCGCAATTACATTGCGGAAAACTTTACCTTAGTGCAATTATTTAGAAGTAGGCTTCATAATAACTAATCAGAATATCGAATTAATAGCTAATAAAGTCATTATATTTACAAAACACGAGAATATTTATGTTTATCATGAAAATTTAAAATATCATTAGTTTTAAAAATATATCACTAGTCTTAAAATTTAATCATAATATAATTTTGAAACGTGACGATAACTTTATTTAAAAAAGCATAAAATTTTAAATAATAATCTACATAAATTTATGTGCATCATAAAATTATCTGTCTCAGATTTGATGCAGACAAATAATAGTCACAACAATATCCAGAATTGCAGGAACTTACAATTTTTTCGAGTTAATTTCTTATTAACTTTTAAACAAACTATTACGTTTACAGTTTGTCTACAACATGATGGTCTGCAGCAAAAGCCATAACAACAAACCGATAGAAGAATTCGTTCTGGTGTCACCGGCGCCAGTCGACACTGCGGCGAAATTATCCAACATTTACATGAAGCTTTCTGAAAAAGAAAAAGAGCGTGCTAAGGACTTAATTGCGGCCGGGAAACAGTGCGAAGCAATGGCCACCGAATTGCTGGCTTTAGCGGCGGGCGCCGACTCGGCCGGCAGGATCTTGACGTCGATGGATCGCAGGAATGTCGAGTTCTTGGACGTGTTGATTGAGAATGAACAAAAAGAGGTGATTGCGCACACCGTAGTGCAGCGTTATCTTCAAGAGCTTTGGCAAGGTAGCCTAAATTGGAACGCGTTCAGGACGATCCTGCTGTTCATCGCCTTCATCGTGTGCCCGCCGGTCTGGGTGGTGTTCGCCCTTCCGCTCGGCCACAAGTACAATAACGTACCTATCATCAAGTTCATGTCGTATCTCACGTCGCATATCTACCTGATGATCTTCTTATTGCTGGTTGGCATTACACCAATCTATCCAGTGGTGAACAGATACAACCTGATACCGTATTGGTATGAATGGTGCCTGCTGGTGATGCTATCAGGACTGTTGCTATTCGAACTGACGAATCCCAGTGACAAGAGCGGCCTTGGCTGGATCAAATTGGCTGTATTGCTCTTCGGCATATTCGGCGTTGCGTTTCACCTGATGGGATTCGTAATTGTGGAAAGACAATACTGGCCGACTCTCCTCTATCTGAGAAACCAGCTTTTTGCCCTCAGTTTCCTTTTAGCTTGCGTGCAGATCCTGGACTTCCTGTCGTTTCACCATCTGTTTGGGCCATGGGCCATCATCATCGGTAATCTTATGAAGGATCTTGCGAGGTTCCTCGCGGTGCTAGCGATCTTCGTCTTCGGCTTCTCCATGCACTTCGTCGCGCTTAATCAGGCGTTCAAGAACTACAAATCGCCACAAGAAGCAGAGGTGGAGACTAAAAAACATAAGGACGCATTTTCCGACGGTAAGTTCGAAATATGTCATTCTCATTTCTTCTGATCCTCTCCTTCTTCAATCTTTTTTCTTCCCTCTCTTTTTTCTCTTTCTATCTATAAGGTGGTGCATGAAATGTAATATCATTTAATTATTCAATTTTCAATGCTTTGATAACTAATTCTATATCAGTTCTATCAGACGTCGAATGGCTTGCCGCTCGGTGTGATTGACTCGCGATCTATAGATCCGGTTCAATCTTATCTGTGTCCACATACTCGATTTTTCGCTTTTAAGAAAACTAAAAATGACTCCATTTGATAATTAAAGAGGTCTTTAAGCATCAGTGCTGTTCGGATTCAAACTGTACTTCCATAAAAAACTGTACTTCCATATATTAATGGATATATGTACATTTGCCAACATGCATGGCAAGCGTGGCGTTTTAATGCCAAATGCCTTCCTTCCAAAGACCACGTATAATGGAAAAGATTGGAAGAGGCTAATATCTAAGAATAGATGAAATCAGACTGATGATGATTAGTTCTATATCACCCGGTAAAAAATTTTTCATGTATGAATATATATAACATGCATAAATATTCATAAATGTATATGTTTTGAAAAATGTAAAAAAAAATGCTCATACACAATTATGCATACTTTTATATATATTTATATATAAGTAATTTTTTACATTTCTTCAAACTTGATTTTTTCTAAAATAAATAGTATGAAAATTACTCTTTCAATTATTTTTAATATTATTATTACTATTATTATTTCTGTTACACTAAAAAGTAATTTTACAAAAGAAAGAGGAATATATGCATGCATGGATATATTTCATATGTATAATTATACATGTAACATGTAATTATACATGTATTATATATGTTTATGAATATTTATATACATTTATAATGTTTATACACATTTACACATATTCATGCATGAAAAATTTTTTACCGGATGCAGTTTTATTAACAATAAATATATAAATCAAATACTGAAGTTTAGGGAATTAACTTCTTTATTTCCCCTTCTCTATCAATATGTATATGACGTCATGTATACAAATTTTCAGTGTTAAAATAAGTTATGTTGCTTTGGCATCTGTGGAAACGTTTTCATCTGTAATACATGCTCTTTTTAATGCTCCGCTCCTAATGTAAGAATAAGGAGAACATTTCCTCTAACTTTTCACAGCCCTGCGTAGTAGAAATTATGGAAGTTCCACTGTAATATGAGACATTTTGTGCGCCACCCCCGTATTTTTCTCTCTGTCTCTTTTTCTCTTTTTCTCTTACTATGTGCCTTGACGCCAATCCTAGAGCTAATGGCGCAGTTAATTGATTTTTTACAGTTCCATCTATAGGATATATATATATACGCGCACACGTACTGTAGATACGACATGTACCGTAGATACATTATGTAGATACCTACGTAGGGCTAGATCTTAGATTGGCAATCGCTTCGACGCGCGGTACTGGTTTCCATTAACAGGACGTAGACAGTGCTTTCACCCACGCAGGTGCTAATTCGCGTGGGTACCGAGATAACGGTATCGCGTATTTCCACTCCTGCGTTAGTTTACGTCAGGAGTTACAGAACTACGTGAGTACAATTTCGATGAATTTAGATTTCAATATTATACGGAATCAGAAATTAAACTCATCGAAATTATAACCGACTGTGTATTCGGCGCGTAATTTATATGCAGAAACAATTAAATGTTTACCCTCCTTCGTTTCCCATCCCTCCACTTGAAAAATTTATTCCTACTTTGAAAGTCATTGACTCATTGCAGTCAAGTTCGCGCGTTTAGATTTCTTAATTGTCATTTATCAAAATCCCAAAGTAGGTCTACTTCATGTCGATCATATTCAGAGACATGCGGAGCGATACAGAATCATAATCGACTGAATTACAATGATAGATTTGTTGGCCAATGTTACGGAATGGATGATGGAGACGCCACCAACGGCGCCTCCTCGTCGCACCGGCCGCTACAAGAAAAAGAATGAGTGCTGTGACGATAACAGCAGAGATTGTAAGTTTTCAGCTGGTTGAGAACGATTAATCAGAAGCAACCCGAGCGCGGAAAGCAAATCGGAACAAAAATCGCGCACGTGAAACTGAATGCGGGACACGATCCATCTCGGTGTCGTCTCGTCTGCATCGTGCATTTGGCCAGTGTGTGTTGTCTGCTGAGACTGCTGCCTGATATGATGAAGCGAAAGAAAAGAAAACAAACGAGAGAACCGGGAAAAAAAATACACGCAAAATCAGATGTTCTTCTTGTCGCGTTGTATGCTGTGATTCGGAGGCAACGGTAAAAAAATTGAAGCAAAAACGATCTGATGGAGAATTTGTTGAGAATAATATATCTCCCTTGTATGCAAACATTACTGCAATCGTTTAAAGCACTCCAGTGCAGTAACCACTTATTAATTACTGCCATGGGCGTACGCAAGGCAAGACAGGGAGCGTTTGCCTTCTTCTTAAATTTTTGGAAAGAGAAACAATTAAATTATGAAAATCATTTCTACAAAAAGAAACTAGAAGTATTTAAAAAAGTATTAAAAAAGTATACTGAAGATTCTCGAGGACTGGTTTTATAAGTGTTTTAATAAATTTTATGTGAAAATAAATCTTTGCTACCTCTGACTGAAATCCTAGCTACGCCCATGATTGTTACTGTAGTTGGAAAATTTAAAAAAACTTTCTTATGCTCCTATTCGCTTCAGATCCGTTCGCGGATTGGAGAGAAGCGTCCGTATCGCAGCGTATCGAACAAATATTTATAAAATTGATCTGAAAGCTCGAGAACGACGTTCCTGTTCATGCAATTTGATTAGCTATCGATTAGAGTTACTGCCAGAGCATATGTGCTCGTGTTTCTTTCACAGCCTCTGCCCGTGTGCATCCCCGTGTCTCGCCTGTACGTATGTGTCCTGTATATATTATACATACATGAACGCGCGCGCGCGCGCGCACACACACACACACACACACACACACACACACACACACACACACACACACACACACACACACAC